GGTTCTCCGTCCCATGCTAACACTGTTTCTCCGTTCCATGCAAACACTGTTTATCCGTCCCATGCGAACAATGTCTCTCCGTCCCATGCTAACACTGTTTATCCGTCCCATGCGAACAATGTTCCTCCGTCCCATGCGAACAATGTTTCTTCGTCCCATGCAAACAATGTTTCTCCGTCCCATGCAAACAATGTTCCTCCGTCCCATGTTAACACTTTTTTTCCGTCCCATGCAGACGATGTTTCTCCGTCACAAGTTAACACGGATATGCAAACAATGTTACTCCGTTCCATTTCAGCACTGTTTCTCCGCCCCATGTTAACACTGTTTCTCCGTCCCATGTAGACACTATTTCTCCGTCCCATGTCAGCACTTTTTCTCCGACCAATGTACACTGTTTCACCTTTCCATATCAGCACTGTTACTCCGTCCCATGTCAAAACTGTTTCACCGTCCTTCCCATGTAGACACTGTTTCTCCATCCTATGAAAAAAATGTTTCTCCGTTCAGTGTCAACACCTTTTCTCCGTCCAATGTTAGCACTGTTTCTCCCGGCCAAGTTAACACTGTTTCTACGTCCCTCTAAATACTTTTCTCCGTCAACTGTCTATTTTTCCATTTATAAAAAAGTTTTTTTATGTCCCGTCACCGTCACCACCGTTTCTCCGACCCGTATAAGAACTGTTTCTCCGTCTAATGTCAACACTGTTTCTCCGACCCATGTCAAAACTGTTTTTCTCTGTAAGGTTTATTCACTTTCTAATCAAACAATGTAAAACAAATTTTGTCCGTACCTATATCTCTTATCTACGGACATTAAATGTTGTTTCTACGTATCGTGTCAATACAAGTTATGTTCGTCTCAAGTCAACAAATCTCTGTATCACGTGTTAATCTTATTGTTGAGTATTTAATCTTTGATCCTTGCTTGAACCTGAGTTTCCGGGTTCCCGTGGACCTATAGATATTCCCACAAAGTCTCAGCAGGAGATAATATTATTATATAATAATACGGCCTGAACCTGGCTCCTGCTGGGGTTCTCAGCCTGAGATCTGGTCAGACATGTCTAGATAACCCAACCTTCTCTCAGCTCCATGACGTGTTAATGCAGGTTGAACGGATAAGGAGAAATTCATCAAACCGACGCAAAGGAGATTCCAAGATCATAACTAGGATACTATAAGGGTGCGGATGTTCTCTGCTAGTATAAGAACCAGAACCTGATATACACTACTAATAAGAGAACAAGAAACCTGATATACACTACTAATACGAGAACCAGAACCTGACCTACACTACTAATACGAGAACCAGAACCTGACCTACACTACTAATACGAGAACCAGAACCTGATATACACTACTAATACGAGAACCAGAACCTGATATACACTAATAATACGAGAACCAGAACCTGATATACACTACTAATACGAGAACCAGAACCTGATACGCACTACTAATACGAGAACCAGAACCTGATATACGTACGGCTGATATACACTGATCTACACTATAGGACTTGTACTAAAACCAGAACCTGGTCTGCAATACAGTACTAGTTCTAGAACAAGAACCTGATATACACTGATAAAGCTAAAACCAGAACCTTATCTACACTACTAGTACTAGAACCAGAACCTGATCTACACTACTAGTACTAGAACCAGAACCTGATGTACACTACAAGTACCAGAACCTGATATACACTATACTAGTACTAGGACCAGACCTTTTCTGTACTACCAGTACTAGAACCAGAACCTGATCTACACTGCTTTTAAGAACCAGAACCTGATCTACACTGCTAGTACTAGAACAAGAACCTGATCTACACTGCTAGTTCTCTAGAACCAGAACCTGATCTACACTGCTAGTACTAGAACCAGAACCTGATCTGCAGTAATGGTTCTAAACCCAAAAGGTGGACTAACTGTTGAGTGTTTGTGCAGAATGAAATATTTTACTTGGGATTGAATAGAATTCATACGATTTAAACATGGCATTAAACCTTGCAGGAAATTCTAGGCATACAAAGCTTACCGACTTTTTCTGATCATAAACAATTTTACTCCGAATTTTAAATCATGAAGACAGAATTCCAACTACTATATATATAAAAGATTTAATATTCATCTGACAAATAGAACTTTTCCAGAATAATAATCGTTTTTTTTTGTAATTTTCCTAGTTATGTCATGTTTCATATCTTAGATAATTGTAATTAAACTTGTAAAAATGAAATTTTAGTTGAAAGAAGCAACTCCAGTCAAAAAAATGCTTATCTTTTGGTTTGATTTTTGACATATCTGTAACTATGACTAATTAAAATCTGAAGTTTTAAAAAAGATTTCTAAAATTTTTTTATCATCTCAGGTTCAAGTTTCAGTTAAAGGAATTGAAAACGTTTTTTTTAAATTTTGGTAAAACTGTGTTTGAGGACTGAACGGTTCTGAGTATTAACGATGAATCTCCGTATCTCCTGCCTTAATTGAAATACTGGAGATACAGCTGAGCACAACACAAAAACAAATTATCCTTAATTATTCTCAAGAATTTTCCTCCCTCAGGGGTAACTTTCAAACCTAACTATTAATATACAAACACACTTCTGATTTGTGTTTATATTTCAGAACAGGACAAATGTATCTATTTCCATGTAACCATATTTCATACGGGTGGATTGGGAAGGGGGAGAATAGAGAAAAGAAGGAGGGGATAAGAATTGAAGAACCCCTGGTGGTTAGTCTGAAATGTGATGCATAATCTGCATAAATTTAATATTTCTTTAATCAACTAATCTTACTGTGATGATGTCTTACTTTAAGATAATCATGGAGTAAAAGGATGGTATACTGGAGTAAGCATGGTATACTGGAGTAAGGATGGAATACTGGAGTAAGGATGGTATACTGGAGTAAGTATGGAATACTGGAGTAAGGATGGTATACTAGAGTAAGGATGGTATACTGGAGTAAGGATGGTATACTGGAGTAAGGATGGTATACTGGAGTAAGGATGATATACTGGAGTAAGTATGGTGTACTGGAGTAAGGATGGTATACTGGAGTAAGGATGGTATACTGGAGTAAGGAAGGTATACTGGATTAAGGATGGTATACTGGAGTAAGGATGGTATACTGTAGTAAGGATGGTATACTGGAGTAAGGATGGCATACTGGAGTAAGGATAGTATACTGGAGTAAGGATGGTATACTGGAGTAAGGATGGTATACTGAAGTAAGGATGGTATACTGGAGTTAGGATGGTATACTGGAGTAAGGATGGCATACTGGAGTATGGATGGTATACTGGAGTATGGATGGTATACTGGAGTAAGGATGGTATACTGGAGTATGAGGATGGTATACTGGAGTAAGGATGGTATACTGGAGATAGGATGGTTTACTGGAGTAAGGATGATATACTGGAGTAAGGATGGTATACTGGAGTAAGGATGGTATAATGATGTAAGGATGGTATACTGGAGTAAGGATGGTATACTGGAGTAAGGTTGGTATACTGGGGTAAGGATGGTATACTGGAGTAAGGATGCTATACCAGAGGAAGGATGGTATACTGGAGTAAGGATGGTATACTGGAGTAAGGATGGTATACTGGAGAAAGGATGGTATACTGGAGTAAGGATGATATACTGGAGTAAGGATGGCATACTGGAGTAAGGATGGTATACTGGAGTAAGTTTGGTATACTGGAGTAAGGATGGTATACTGGAGTAAGACAGTAGATTGATTAATCTAGTTTCCAGCCTGAAAGTTTACAAAGGTAGAATGAGATTGAAAAAATTAAAGTGAAGATTAGTGTTTGTGGAGTTTGAGCTAAACCCAGCAGGGGGCGCTTTAACTACGACCTTGGGGCTAGTAAAGCAGGTATAGATAGAGCTCCTCGGGATTCAGTTCTTGTCGGGATTCAGGATTTCTAAACAAATGAATCCAAAGTACAAAACTACTAGATTTTCTAATTTAAAGGACCTTCCAGCGAAAGCGTTAAATACACACTCAATTCACAACAGCACCCTTTTATCTATTGTCCGATCAAAAACTATTTAAATTCCATTTAAAAAATTGATAAGTTTCATGGGCAGTTTCTGTACAAAGATGAGATTGCAGAGGTAAGGATGGAAATTAACAGAATTTATCTCTCATCATGATAGAAAAAAAAGATATCCTTCTTATTGTTTCAAGGTTTAGAGAGCATTATTGTGAAATGTGCATCTAACTCATTTATTAGAGGCTCATATTGTCCCTTTATTAATGGATTATGTTTGTTTATCTCTTATGCATGTATTTCCTGGTGTATTAGTCGATCTTATTTCACTTATCAAAAGTGGATTTTTTAGATTTTTAGTATTTTCTTATTGATTGTGTCGTGGACCATCTGAAAAAGAGCAACCTTATGTGATTATCAATCTTTCATAACCTAACCTAACATGAAACAAATAATAACGCAAGGTTGATATTTTTAGGAAGGGGGGATGGGGGCTGGGGTGGGGACTGGTCATATTACATCTACCTAGTTTCATATGATGTAAGCTATTTACCATTTATAGCATATTTACATTTATGCTTTGCTTTGCTATGTAAATATAAATTAATCAAAAAAAATGTTGTATACACAAAAGGGTAAATCTTTAAGACGAAATTCAGATGATTAAATTCTTTAAGAAATGCAATTAACGTCTTAAAAAATGATGACCCATGACTTAAGAATTGCCCCTAGGCATAGTACAGCTTTGAAATACACCAAAACTGTATTGCATGGAATGTTTTTCTACAGGGGAAAATATTTCACATATCTAAATTTCCCAGGGAAAGATTTGATAGGTTCTTTAGATTTTCTAATCTTTATATCTTTGAAACCTAAATCAGCCAGTTCATTGAGATTCTTAATCTCATCTTCAAGATTAGGCTTGAATAAATATTCCCTAGGTGCAGGTTCAGCCATACTTATTCTCTAGAAAGATTCAGCTATGCCTATTCTCATATAGGTTCAGCAACATATTCTTTAGGTGTAGGTTCAGCACCATATTCTTTAGGTGTAGGTTTAGCAACATATTTTCTATATTTCGGTTCAGCAACATATTCTTTAGGTGTAGGTTTAGCAACATATTTTCTATATTTCGGTTCAGCAACATATTCTTTAGGTGTAGGTTTAGCAACATATTTTCTATGTTTCGGTTCAGCAACATATTCTTTAGGTGTAGGTTCAGCACCATATTCTCTAGGTGTAGGTTCAGCACCATATTCTTTAGGTGTAGGTTCAGCACCATATTTTCTAGGTGTAGGTTCAGCACCATATTCTTTAGGTGTAGGTTCAGCAACATATTTTCTAGGTGTAGGTTCAGCAACATATCCTCTATGTGTAGGTGTAGGTTCAGCACCATATTTTCTAGGTGTAGGTTCAGCACCATATTCTTTAGGTGTAGGTTCAGCAACATATTTTCTAGGTGTAGGTTCAGCAACATATCCTCTATGTGTAGGTTCAGCACCATATTCTCTATGTGTAGGTTCAGCACCATATTCTCTAGGTGTAGGTTCATCAACATATTCTTTAGGTGTAGATTCAGCAACATATTCTCTAGGTGTAGATTCATAAACCTATTCTCTAGGTGAAGGTTCAGCATCATATTCTCTTGGTGTAGGTTCAGTAACATATTCTCTAGGTGTAGATTCATAAACCTATTCTCTAGGTGTAGGTTCAGCAACATATTCTCTAGGTGTAGGTTCAGCACCATATTCTCTAGGTGTAGGTTCATCAACATATTCTTTAGGTGTAGGTTCAGCACCATATTCTCTAGGTGTAGGTTCAGCAGCATATTCTTTAGGTGCAGGTTCAGCATCATATTCTCTAGGTGTAGGTTCAGCAACATATTCTTCAGGTGTAGGTTCAGCATCATATTCTCTAGGTGTAGGTTCATCAACATATTCTTTAGGTATAGGTTCAGCAACATATTCTGGTGTAGGTTCAGCACTATATTCTCTAGGTGTAGGTTCAGCAACATATTCTCTAGGTGTAGATTCTCTAGGTGTGGGTTCACCTTAAGAATTCTAAGTCTGAACTTGCATGAGATCATTAAATAAAATTATGTTCACTAAAAATCAAATAAAGTTCATCAATCTGTATCTAGGTACCAATTTCAAAGATTAATTTGCCCAAGTATGGAGTTGAGTAATCAGTGTGACCCAGTTAAAGGAATGTTCGACGGTTAGTTTCATGTAAGCGGAAATATTTTGCTGAAAACCTGGATAATTAGTCTAAACTCTAAATTCATTATTTGAATATTTTAACAAAAATTATAGTTTTAATCAGAATATGAATGCAATAAATGCTCCCTCCTCCTCCCCCTAGTTCTAGTAAAACCCAATACATTTTTATTATTTACACACTGACACAACCAAGATACATCACATAATAATAATTCCTGTAATATTTAAATTTGTTCACTGTATTTGAGTTCTTTATAACAGTTTTACTCCGGGGTAAGAGTAGCCTTGGTTTGGAAAAGTTATTAAATTTATGATAAATTACTTGAATGAGGTTGCAATTTTGTAAATCTTTCTCTCGGGTGTTTATTGGGTAAATGCTACATTTACCTTCCTGCAGCACTGTACAGTGACTTATCAGTACAGTGATTAAATTGTACACTGTACATGTAGATTTTATTTATACTGTTCTAGCAGAAGATTTCATCTATGTCCTAACACACTGCACAGGGAGGATTCCCACCCTGATAAAAATAATTCTAAATATAAGGTTTTTTATGAGGTCATCTTATCTTTAGTGGACTGTAAGGCTAGTCTAACAACTATTTGTACACGGGGTAACAGAGAGGGAGGGAGGGAGGGAGGGAGGGAGGGAGCAAGAAAGGAAAAGCAGTAACAAGGAAGGATTATCATAAAGAGAAGGAAGGATGCAGAAAATTTGAAAGAGACGATGGGATAAGGTTAAAAGAGATAAAGGTAAAAAATCGAGTTATGATGTGTCTTTGTAGAATAAACCTATGCAATTTATTTTTTGACAGGTGGATTTCGGGGGTGGAGGGGTGACTAGTAAGATAAGGCAGAGGTGGGGGTTGCATATGAAAAGAAGGACTAAAAAGATCTATTATCTAGGTTTTGTATCTGTGACTCCTATGTGAGCCTATAGTACCAATTTCGCTTGAATAGTTTAGGTTAGCTACGCTTTCTCTATATACACTATAATTACAAGAACGCATGGGATAGAGAGTGAGATAAATGGTGTTAGATAGTTAGATTTGAAGATAGTTAGATGAACTTTAAGATAGTTAGATAAATGAAAAGATAGTTAGATAAATGAAAAGATAGTTAGAGAAATGAAAAGATAGTTAGATAAATGAAAAGATAGATAGATTGTGTCGAAGATAGTTAGAGAAATGAAAAGATAGTTAGATTGTGTCGAAGATAGTTAGAGAAATGAAAAGATAGTTAGATTGTGTCGAAGATAGTTAGAGAAATGAAAAGATAGTTAGATTGTGTCGAAGATAGTTAGAGAAATGAAAAGATAGTTAGATTGTGTCGAAGATAGTTAGAGAAATGAAAAGATAGTTAGATTGTGTCGAAGATNGATAGGATAGTTAGATTAAAAGATAGTTATATGGAATAGAAGATAGTTTGATGGATTTAAAGACAATCAGATAGATGATAAGATAAGAAGATGAGTAGGTGACAAGATAGTTAGATGAAAGGAAATAGTTAAATAATTAGGAAGAAGCTAGTTAGATGAAAGGAAATAGTTAAATAATTAGGAACAAGCTAGTTAGATGAAAGGAAATAGTTAAATAATTAGGAACAAGATAGTTAGATGAAAGGAAATAGTTAAATAATTAAGAACAAGATAGTTAGATGAAAGGAAATAGTTAAATAATTAAGAAATAGATGGTTAGATGAAAGGAAATAGTTAAATAGTTGAGAACAAGATAGTCATTTAAATATAAAGATAACTTGATAAATAAAAAGACATTTATCTCGCTCAAAATGATGGGTTTTAGAAGACAGTTAGTTAAATGGCTATGAGGATTATGAGAGTATAGTAGATGGGTAAAAATATAAAAAGATGAATAAGAAGACAGGAAGACGGATAAAAGACAGTTTGAAGAAAAAAAGATAGTTAGAAGAATAAGAAAAAACTGAAATGGATATATGGAAGGTTCAATAACTAATTAAGAAAATAAATTAAAGTAAATAATGCAAAAAAAAATATAAAGTTTTTGCCATAAAGTTCACTCATTTCATTATTCATAATTAACAATTGAAGCACTCAAAAAAATACGCGTTTGGTTTTAAATCTTATTTACTGCTGTAAAATAAACACGTGTATAAATCAGTTAGATCTGAGTCCGAATTTAATGAATTTGAGCCGCGTCACAAATCCCCCCAAAACGGGTTTCAATTGAGCGCCGGCTTAGATCTTGAAACATTGAATACGATTTTAAGTGTAGCCGCGGCTCAAATTCTTAAAATTCGGCCTCTGATCAATGAGATGATGATATTGCATCAACTACTTTAAAGAATTGTGATTGTCTTTCAAAAAAATTCCAATAATCCACTTTGAGGAAACAACTTTCCTCAAAAAAAACGCCATAAAATTAAATATTACCAAAATAAATAAGTTAATTTTCTACATTTACGAATGTAGGGGCGATATCTTAATTCCTTGACTCCCCCCTTACAAACCCTTTTTAAGCACTTAAATTTGTGCTTAAAAAGGAAGGGGAGGGGGTCTCTTTTGTGAAAAGCTTTGAGGGGGAAGGGGGAGGGGGGTGTTGCTGATGATTTCTCTTTTTAGGATATCCAAGCCTTCAAACCGGTTTTTTTACTCCATCAATTGTGCTCATTGTTTAAAATTTATCTCAAAATTAAAAAAGTATTCCTTTAGGATATTTTTATATGACACTTTCAGAAATCTAAAATTTAAAGGGTTTGAAGGAAAATGAATGGACTACGTAGTTTAACAGATAAGGTTTGGTTTTTTAGAATTTGATTTCAAGTGTTTTAACTTTAACATCCCAGTTTTAAGGATTTTAGTTTAACACCATTTAAAGATTTTATTTTAACGTATTCTTTTAGTATTAAATCCAAAGAAATAAAAATTTAATTTCGATAAACTGCACCCTCTAGAATTAATGATGTCTGATGGAAGTGAGAGTTCTAAGCTAGAGGAGAAAAACCGCGTAACATAATTCAGAATTAATTAAATAACAGTCAGAATATAAAACGAAACAAGAACATTTCATTTCTTCCTTCAACTTTCCAGCTTTTTACATCAAACTCAGGGATTCGTCATGTTCTTATTTTGCATCGAGCCTTCAGTTTATTCCCCCTCCCCCCCTTCATTCTACCTGACACCTCCCCTTCCTTTGCACCTGGTTAACATGATAAAAACTATGCATTAAGCCATAGAAACCTAACTGTTCTCGTAATTGCAAGCGACAAGGGCAAATGCAATCTATATATAAATTTGGCTTGACTGTCTGTCTGTTTGTATGATCTAACAGAATTCATAGTTTTAAAAATCAAAGGTCTACACTATCAGGTTGCAAAGCTATAATGTTTAGAAAAATTGAGTTTGTGGCAAAACTCAGTTCCTTAGATTCACTTATATTTCACACCGATGAGCTTTAACATGCAAAAAGCGTTTGTTTCACATTTTTTGCGTTTTACTTGGTGTGTTTATAGCGTGTGTTTTAGCTGCTTACAGCTTGTGTTTCAGTGAGTGTTTAAGTGTGTTTGTAATGTGGTCTGTGTCTTGTGTGTGCGTGTTATCTGGCTGTGTGTGTGTGTTATCTGGCTGTGTGTGTGTGTGTTATCTGTCTGTGTGTGTGTTATCTGGCTGTGTGTGTGTTTACTATCTAATTATGTATTTGAGGAGTATGATTACATGATATGCAAGGTTGAGGTTTAAACTTAAGGATTAACAGGTGCAGGTGTGAGGAGCCAGGGTGTGAGTGGGGGGGAGGGGTTAAAGAGGCACCGGGGGGGAGAGAGTGATGTATGCTGACCATCTGGTAGTATTAAGGATGGACCTGAACTAGATAACAAGCAGTTTTTGTTGAGGTTAGGGAACACCTTCCCTGGAGTCTAGGGGTCACTAGATCAGGCCTACTCTACCCTCATCCTTAACCTTAACAGTAACCCGTGGGAATATTCCACAGTGGGAGTTTGTCATAACTCCTGGGTCGGACACAGAGCTTCTCCTCCCGATCCCTGGAGTTCAGGAACCGCTGGGTTTTATCTCATAACAGGCAGACACCCACTGGGAGCTGTATCTTCACTTCTCAACATGTAAACTGATAAATTAGATTAGATTAGAGAGAATTAGATTGGATTAGATTAGCTTGGGTTTCATGAGATTTTTCTAAACTGTTTCCCGAAAATATATATTTTTTAAAGATTTACCAGAGCTGGGAATTTTTGTGTAGGATACTCATAATACCGATCCACAGATCGCGATATCCTCTGTGAGCACTGTTAATTTGAGGAGGTTCAATGGTCTGGCAGTTCCTGGCCAATTTTCCTAATTTTAGGCAGATGACGTGGAATCATAGAGAATAGAATATATAGAGAAAAATTAAAAGAATCTCTCGGTATGAATTTTTTCAGTCCCTTTCAGCCTGAAAGGGAGTTCAAAGTGTAC